GATGTATCTCTGTTGGTAGCAGAATAATTTAGTATGCACAAAACCATGGGTTCAGTCTTGTGAAGTGCCTGAATGGTGTGTGGTGGTGCAGCCCAGTCAACATAACATGTAAGTGGTAATTGCAGAAGACTTAGAAGTTCCAGGTCATCCTCAGTTACATAGCCAGTAGGAGAAACTACATAAGAATAAAACAGTTCACCGCTTCCCTGTACGTGGTATGAAGTGTTGGCCATTAAAATGATTTCTGAGTGGGTCTCACTGAAAACCTAGTGAGTATAATTTTCACTGACTGCACACAGGCTGCATTCTGGTCTCCTGATCCCTCCCTGCAACTGCACATTATCTTCTGCTTTTGGTATTCCAGGGTGTCTCTAGCCTATTTCGGTGGTTCATAATTCTATCTGAGGACCATTAAGTCTGATACACATTATCTCAGGTGTAGTAACAGAAGAAAACACAGCTGTTTCAATTTGTACATTAGTCAATGTTCCATCATCAGGACAAACAAAAATAAACACTGAAAGAGAGTATGAGTCTGTGATTCAAATTTAAAATGATGAAAAAATTTTTGGCTCACACTTAAAAGCTACATCTCTTCAAGACCCCCACAAACTTCCAATTAATCCACACGAGAAGTGAGCTTCTGACCTGTGGTCCTTGGGGACCATACAGAGTCATTGTGGAGCAGACCTGGATGGTGGTGATGAATCTCCAACTTCAGGATCCCTCCTCCTTCACACATGGCTCTGGCCCTGCTGCTCTGTGATCCAGAGACCCCTCTTCTGGATGTACTTTGAGTAAAATGTGTAAACTCACACTATGACAGAAGGGCCATGGACATGGTGCATCCAAACATTTCCTGCTGGGAGACACACAGCACATGTTTTACCCAGAGCAGCTGTCACTACCACCAGGACTGTATTGGTTATCAATATCCTGGTGGCCCATCAGCTATAGGCTGGCTTCGCATTTCCTTCTGCCTTCAGAAGATAATGAAATCTTGAAGCTGTGGGGCCAGATTGAAGTCAGCTAAGTCATGGGCCTGGGATATTGAAGGGGACATTTTTCTTGAGCCCCTCCTCTCATCTCTGCTTCCCCTCCTACCTGAGTTCATTCCTCCCCTCACCCATAAGTCAATCTGTCCTGTACCAACTCCATGAAAGACCAATGTCCTCAGTTCACATGAACTGAGTTCTCTGAACCATGAGCCAAAGTCAGCTGTCCTTCACCTTCAATTTATCTAGCATAAAATTCACAGAAATGGAAAATTCATGCACACCTTCATGTCCACTGTGGAGGTCATCAAATCATGAGGCTCTTGTCAGTTCCAGAGCTACATCAAAAAGCACATATTTCTCACACAGCAGGGTAGGGACTTTCTCCAGGGTGGCCACAGCATGACATCTCAGCTCTGGGTACTCTCGGCATTCTCTGGGACCCTTGATGATACACAACCTTCATGCAGGACCAAGAATAAGGTCACCAGTCCCTAGACTGTCTGTCCCAGGAAACTGTTTTGTTATCAAGCCCTGAAGCTCTTCTTGACATCTTCATCATGACCACCTGAATATTCACGAAAAATACTGGCCTGGACCCCGGGCAGGTAGCTGTCCAATGGATGTCAGAAGGACTCAGATTCAATATCATCAAACAAAATTCTACATGCTGAAGGCAGAACAGAAAGAGAAATTAAGGTCACCAGTCCCTAGACTGTCTGTCCCAGGAAACTGTTTTGTTATCAAGCCCTGAAGCTCTTCTTGACATCTTCATCATGACCACCTGAATATTCACGAAAAATACTGGCCTGGACCCCGGGCAGGTAGCTGTCCAATGGATGCCAGAAGGACTCAGATTCAATATCATCAAACAAAATTCTACATGCTGAAGGTAGAATAGAAAGAGAAAGACCCCAGTGTTAGGCACAAGCAGAGCAGCTTATTCAAAAGGACAAGTACATTCCACAGTGACCCCTCAATTCTAAGGAAAGGTAAAGCACAGCATGACCTCTTAGCCAGTATGCCTGGTTCTTAGGGAACAGGCTGGAATAGTCATTGAGGGGTAGATACTCTAGGACAAATAACCAACATTGGAAAGGGGATCTAATCTGAAGGGGAAAATCAGCTTTGTTTGAGGCCCTATCTAGTTGTTCATCTACAGTAACAAAATACTTGAGCTCAGGGAAGAAAGAGGAACAGCTGATGATAGACGGTTTATGGCACAGTTCATGGTCATAATGGACATTCCTAAGAAACTGGTAAGAGAGTTCGGAGCTGCTGATTCCCATAGTGCTGGTAATTAAGGAAGTGGGGCCCTGGACAGTGGTGCATTGCTAGATTTCTCATGATGAAACAAAAAAAATCATCTGAATCTACAGTCCCTGGGAGAAATACAGAAAATAACTCATGGCCCAAACCCACCAGACACTCAAGGTGCCCTGTGCCTGCCAGGGGACCAACCACACAAACACACTGAGAGCCCCACCCTCAAGACCCACACATAGAATTTTCTCAA